ACTCAAATTTTAACCAGGGAATTCGACGGCAAGTGTCCAATTTTGCGAAGACTGTGTCGCCACAGCTAAAAGACTTATTGCATGACAAAGACTTCTTTAAACTCGAGAATATCAATAAGCCACGTTTTGTAATAAGATCAAATACATTCAAATCACTACACGAATAAATCAAAGCAAACTTGCTATGCTACTTTACGAGTCTACATGTCTAGCTTTGAAACACAGATTAATACCCTCAACCTCATATTACTTGTACTCACATTCGAATCGGAGTCTTAGCGTTTTGTTTTTGTTATATATAAAGTCCAATTACGTAAAAACATTATATTTGTCCCGTATTCTAGAATTCTAGAGGGTCATTGTAGAAGCGTGCTCGTCACGACCCCTGCCAGCCCTTTTCAGGGCTGCAATTCTACACAGCTGCGCACCCATGCAAACGAGGGTTAGGGCGTCCCCCCAAGGCGACGCACACCAGCTCGTCCCCGTTGGTGTGGAATGCAGCGCGCAAAGCGGCGATGGAGACCGCCACCCATCACGCACAGCCCGACACGGCGGAAGGTGGAGGACGGAGTGCAGAGTTGGCACGTGGAATGTTAGAGGGGGCATGAGAGATAAGACGAATGAGTTGATCGAAATAATGAAAGAAAGAGAATTAGATGTCGTGTGTATGTCGGAGACCAAACGGAAAGGCAGTGGTACTGAAGAGCTCCCTGGCGGGACGTTAGCTATATGGTCCGGAGTCCCGAAAAGCGAGAACGCCTGCCAGGGAGTGGGAGTGCTGTTGTCGTCCCTGTTGGTCGATCTTATGACTGAATACAAGGTTGTGAAATCAAGACTTCTCTGGGTTCGCTTCAAAATGAGACTGACGAAGTTATTCCTTTTGGCTGTTTATGCGCCGGTAGCTTCGTCGTCCAGAGCTGAGCTGGAGGAGTTTTGGGAGAATGTAAGAGAAGTTCTAGATTTGGTTAAGGGAAACGAAAGAACTGTTGTATGTGGTGATTTGAATGGATGGGTAGGTATCGCTCGACCAGGATACGAGTCGGTGCTTGGAAAGTTTGGCGATAAAAGGGTTAATGATGCTGGCAAGCTTATACTGGCTGTATGCAAGGAAAAGGGTCTTCTTGTGACAAACACTATGTTTAATCACAGGAAAATCCATATGTACACTAGAGAAAGAAAGAATGAGAGAAGTATGATTGATTTGTTCCTGGTGGATGACCGACTGCGAAAACAGGTGATGGATACACGAGTGTTCAGGGGTGCTGACCTGGGAACGGAGCATTATCTAGTAATTACTAGATTTAGGGGTTTGTTCGCGGGTTGGCGCTACCGGACGGCAGTAACAGAACCACAGTCGGTCTGTCGCATCCGAAGCTGGAAGCTTCAGGAAGCGGATACTAGGGACAAATATCACAAGAGGGTAGCCGAAAAGCTTGACACCATCGATGGCAGGAAAGAATGTGTGGAGAGAACATGGCAGAACCTTAGGGATGGAATGGTAAGTGCAGCGGAAGAAGTATGTGGTACGACAAAAAGAGGTAGTAGTAAAAGAAGAGATGCATGGTGGAATGATGAAGTGAGAGAAGCTGTAAAAAAAGAAGAAAAAAGCATGGTTAGACTACTTGGCCTCTAGTAACGATGAGCATATGAGAGAGAAGATGAAAGAAAGATATAAGCTGCAGAAAGTTCATGCGAAAAGTCTGATTGAGGAAGTACGTGAAAGGTGTAGAATAGAAGCGGACGAGAGGTTGTCGCACAACTTTAGGGAAAACTCCAAACTCTTCTGGAAAGAGGTTAAGGTCCCGGAGTGGTGCGACAGCCTTAAGAATGAACAAAGTGCTTTCGAGAACCAATGACGTCCTCTCAGAAAAATCGGACGTCATGCAGCGATGGAGTGAATTTTATAGAGAAATGTATGCGTGTCATGATCTTAGTGAAGGATCCGGGGGTGACGCCGTGACTGGCACGCCAGACACGGACCTCGATGACACTGAGGTCATCAGCATGAAAGAGATTGAACGTGCGATTCGAAGTTTGAAATGTTGTAAGGCTGCGGGACTAGACAGAGTTACTGCTGAAATGGTCAAGTACGGTGGGCCTCGCTTCTGGGACAGCTTCCATCTGCTGTGCAATTTGTGCTGGCGGACGGGAGATGTCCCGGATGATTGGCGATCCGCGGTCATTGTGCCTTTATATAAAGGTAAAGGTTCACATTTTGACTGCGGTTGCTATCGGGCGATCAGCTTGACCAGTTTAGCAAGTAAAGTTTACTCGAAGGTTTTGACACGTAAGATGCAAGAGAAATCGGAAAGATTCTTATGGGAGGCACAATGCGGATTTAGACCTGGAAGAGGATGCACGGATCAAATTTTTTCTCTCCGCATGATCACGGAGAAGCTTCTGAGTGTTAACCAGAGGATTTTCTGTGCTTTTCTGGATCTGGAGAAAGCATTTGATAAGGTTATAAGGAAGAAAATGTAGGAACTGTTGCCGGGATATGGTGTGGATGGTCGATTGTTAAGGGCTGTGCAGTCACTTTACTATGACTGTAAAGCCGGTGTGCGGGTAGGGCATGACCTGTCACCCATGTTTAGCGTCCAAGCGGGCGTAAAACTGGGTTGTATCATGTCTCCCTGGCTGTTCATACTGTATCTCGACAGCTGTTTACAGAAGCTGAAAAATAGCTGTTTGGGTGTGAAATTGGGTGACATAAAAGTTAATTGTCTGCTGTATGCTGATGATGCAGTGCTTATTGCACCATCAGAAGCAGAACTGCAGGCATTAGTCACGTGTATGAAAGAGGAATGTGAAATTAAAGGTCCCCGTTTTAATGCTAATAAAACTAAGGTTCTGGTATTTGAAAAGGACGAAAAGAGAATGAAATGTGAAATATGGGTAAATCAGGAATGTCTAGAACAGGTAAATGAAATTGTATACTTAGGGAGTGCTTTCAGCCGGGATGGAAGATGTGATTTAGATGTGGATAGGCGTGTCGATGCCGGAAACAAAGTCAATGATGCCCTGAATGCATTAGTAAAAAGGCAAGGCGTGGTGAAGAGTGCACGCCTTGCAATACATAACGCAGTGTTGGTACCGACTTTGTTATATAGCAGCGTAACCTGGGTATGCCAGAAGAAGCATAAAAGCAAGTTGAATGCAGTGGAGATGCGATCTCTTCGTAAAATGTGTGGCGTTACCATAGCCGACCGAAAGCGAAACGAAGAGATTCGCAATATGGCAGGATTGAAAGATGACCTTATCACAAAAATTGATAGGGGCGTACTCCAATGGTTTGGGCACGTTGAACGAATGAGTGAAGACCGAATGGTGAAGAAAATATATAGAGCGAAAGCAAATATTAAAAGGTGTCGAGGTAGACCGAGACTAACTTTCGAAGACCATGTGAGCAAATTGCTCGAAGAGGGGAGGGTCAAGAGTACTCGGGTACTTAGACTTTTACTGCATGTATGAAGAAGTTAATGAACCTGAAAGAAGCGAAAGAGGTATGTAAGGATCGTGACACTTGGCGATCTGTTCTCTCTGGCTACCCCGTTAGGGATTGTGCGTGAAGATAAGTAAGTAAGTAAGTAAGTATTCTAGAATTTGTTATAATTCGTGGTAACATTATCTCGTCTTTGTGAATTGTTATTATGTATGATAAACACTTTCATTTAATAACGTAGAAAACATTAATTTGTTATATCGCTCTAGCAATACTTAGATTAGATGAAAAACGGAGAACTCCGTCATCATTTGAGGATAGGTGTTAAAATATTTCTAATCTTAAGAAAAAACGACGAACAGAATATAGTTTTAATAAACTTTAGAATAACACCTTTGCTGGATTTTTAGACATCTATAAAGGGAAAACCAACCTGGAAAATTACATCATATTTACGGAGACCGAAAAAAAATGCATCTGATGCGGTTATTACAAAGATGCTCAAGTTTATTGAGTAATATTATACTTTTTCTTAAATATTTTTCTTACATTACAATTTTAACATTGTTTTGAATGTTAATATTATAAGGAGTTATTTAGGTTAGACAAGTCGTTGTCACATAAATTTTAAAACTCTAAATGCCATAAATTTTTTCTACATCTTCTCTTAGTCAGCTTTTTCCCACACAAGAATTTAAAGTGATAACGATTTTTAATACAGTGGAACCTCGTTACTCCGACCCCTGTAGAAGTGAGGGTCCAGAATAATGGGCTATTCGTATTGGATATTGTAAGAGAAAAATGTGTATTTTAAAATGAAAACCCGATGCAAGCCTTTGTAACTTTTATTAATACACACATTGAATATAATACGAACATAAATATTTGTCATGTAGGGGCGACGTATGAATATCCACTACCACATATATTCCCGTGGGTTCCTTAAGAGGCGACGGAAAGAAACTGGAACTTGAGGTGGACAGCAGCATCTTCCTGATAACAACCAAAAACAAATATATATATATATATATATATATATATATATATATATATATATATATATATATATATATATATATATATATATATGTGTGTGTGTATGGGTGTGTGTGTGCATGTACATATGGATCAACGTCACATCGAAGTCTTATTGTACATATTAACACGTTAAACGCCATGTAAGAAATGTGATTTTACTCCAAAAATTTTTTGTAGTCATTTTGTTAATAATCATGATATATGTATAGAAATCAGTTTTTATCGAAATCAAAAATACAGTTTTCAAGTTATTGCTGAAAAACTAGCCGCGGGCACCTGTGACCCCCATGGCGCTCAAAAGCAAAAAAAGTTATTTTTCGTTTGCATGCGCCACGCCGCCCACCCCGCCGGTCACCCCGCGCTCCAGTCTATCGCCGGCGCTTGCGCGGAGAGGTTATGTTCGTTTGGTTTTTGGCTAATTAGAATACGTCTAAAGCATATTTCATGTTAGTTATGTTTAGTAATTCATTGCGATGGAAAATAATATAGTACCTAATAATGAGGAACGCGAGAATTTCAAATGGATTTGGCGGACTTTGAATTCTCGCAAGAAGATTTGCAAGAGATTGAGACTTTGGAGTTCAACGCACTTCAGACATCGTTCAGGGACATCAGTAGCGACGATGAGTCTGAAAATTTACATGTTCCGAAGAAAAGAAGACGTATGGTTATCAATTCGGACAGTGAAAGCGATTCAGTAAAAGATTTTGTCCTACAAAATTTACCTACTTCTTCAAACACGTACACAAAATGGAAGAACCCTACTGGATGCACTGCTCGAGTGATACCCTTCACTGAGCCCACAGGTATGAAGTTTCCTTTTTCAAGAGACTTAAGTCAAGGAGATCCAGAGGATTTTTATTCTTTGTTAGTTGACGATTCCTTGTTTGAAATAATTGCTGAACAAAGTAACCTGTTTGCTACGCAAAGCTTTGGAGATAAAGATTTCAAGTCATGTTCTCGCTCACATACATGGCAGCCAACCGATAAGCATGAAATAAAACGATTTTTTGGACTAATTTTATTCATGGGCCTTGTGAAATAGCCATCAATTAGTGATTACTGGAGTACAGATGACATATTTCAACAACCGTTTCCTCGCACAGTGATGACTAGGAACAGATTTGAATTACTTTTACAGTACCTACACTTTGCCGACAATTACAACTTGAATCCGAACGATCGTATTGGAAAAATCAGGTATCTTGTGAATTTGTTAAATGATAAATTTAAAGCCTACTATGCCCCTAAAGAAGAACTGTGTGTCGACGAAAGTATGATTCCTTTTAGAGGTCGAGTCACTTTTCGACAATATAACAAATCTAAAAGGCACAAATACGGTATAAAATTGTTTAAAGTTTGTACAAATCCTGGTTATACTTTAAAAATACAGGTATACAGTGGAAAAAATATTGATATTGAGAATAATACCCCTACAAAAATAGTATTATCCCTGTGCGATGAACTCTTGAATAAAGGCCACACCATTGCCACTGATAACTGGTACACCAGCTTGGAACTGGCGTACGAATTACTAAAAAACGATACACATTTCCTGGGGACAGTGAGAAAGAACAGAAAGTACTTGCCTAGGAAAGTAGTAGAAACCAATTTAAAACGAGGTGAATTCGTAGCACAAGAAAACGATTGTGGCATCACAGTATTAAAATGGAAAGATAAAAGAGATGTTTTAATGCTGTCTACAAAGCACACGGACAAATTTACTCGATTAAATGTCAGAGGCAAGGCGGTGCAAAAACCAGCAATGGTTATTGATTATAACAAATGTAAAGCTTCAGTCGACATGAGTGATCAGATGACAGCTTATTCAACTCCACTGAGAAAAACTGTCAAATGGTATAGAAAATTGGCCATAGAATTGCTCTTGAATACAGCTGTGGTAAATGCGTTGATAATGTATAAGGAAACCACTAAGAAAAATATTTCAGTAGTAGATTATAGAAAAAATCTCGTTCAATATCTCACTAAATCAGGACGTCCAGAAACAGGTAACTTGGCACTTGAATTACGTCCAAAACGACGAAAACATGAACTTGTCAAAAAAGATGGACCTGTACGCAAAATGAGACGATTTTGTGTCGGCTGTTACAAGAACAATGTAGAAAAGATGTCGAGAAAAGACGCAAAAAATAAGACCCTGAAAGTGCCTACCTATTGTTTGCAGTGTGATGGTCAGCCACATTATTGCCTGCCATGTTTCAATAGAGAGCATCGAACGTAATTTGGACAATAAATTTTGTTTGTAATATTTTCAATATAATAACTTTTAAATTACTATCTAAATTGTTTTGTGAGCCTTTCTATGACCACGTGTAAAATATTGATATTTCTTTGTGATTGATATATTATTATGTTATTAAAACATTAATACTGTAAAAGATTTTTGTATCTTTTGAATCTTAAAACTACGATATTTAAAACCAAATTTTATATGAAACATTTTTTTTGCGTATTTTTCCCTACTTCTCATAATTTAGTACCTATTTTCTAAATTTTACTAGGCAGGTGTGTCCCACTGCAAAGGATTGCTCTCAAGCGCCGCGCCGGTCACTCACATAGGCGAAATAAACGACACGCGTGACCGGTGGCGCAAAAAAAGCACTTTAAGTTTAGATCTCGCATGTGGTCACCGGTGTCCCCCATGGCGCAATAAAGCAACATACATGAGGTCACCGGTGCCCCCCATGGCGTTTAACGTGTTAACAAAGACGGACTACGTGATCACCGAATAAGGCAGAGGCCGGTTTGTCTTCTTTCTTCTTGACTTTCTTTCAAAATGTTTCCACTTATGAAATTAGTTTCTTTATGGTTATCCTTATAGATTGATGGCACTTAGTACTGTAAAGCATACACTTGACAAAAGTTCTTATATATTTCTTAAATTTACTCGAACACTAAATATATAAGAATTGAATATAGCTGGTTATACGGATTTTATCACGTTTAGTTAACTTATTTCCGACGTTTCGGGTGCTTTATTTATGTAATAATCAAGATCATCCCCACCATTCCATTTACATCAGATTTGATAAACCACAAATCCTCGCAAAAGAACACCGATTCTTACCAAGGATGATACGCGAGGCTATTGAAATTAAAAAATATCGTAATTATTGAAATTACGATATTTTTTTAATTATGAGAAAATGGATGGTTGCTGCCATCTGTTTGGGATCCTATAATTAACAAAATTAAATCCAAACCCAAGCATACCACTACAGGACTTCAAGATGCTGTAAGCTCGTTCTGCGTAGATCGGACCAAATATTGACGTTCAAAAACTGAAGGTAGCCGGGTTAACTACGACATGGGGACGTTAAACTATGGATGCCCGATATAAATCGATTTTCTGGAAGATCGATTCACTGTCATAGGAACTACCGATTTTTGAATCGATTCAAGAGAATGCGATCTTCACCCAAATCGAATCGTACCTATGTTTATGTTTAAGATGGTATGAAAAAATCGTATCAACACATCACCGAATCGTAACGAAATAACGTACGAACCGATTTTTGCATAACAATGGTATTGACGTGAAGGGGGCAGAATAACTAAAACAATTTAAGATTACCAACCTACAAATTGAATTAGAGTAGTTTCGAGTTACATCAAAAGTGTTAATGTAAGAAATATGAAGTTAGGTATGATAATATTTTTTTTTACTATAGGGTACCTATGTTAGTGTTCTGTGATCTTTCATTCATATATATTATTGCGATATGAAAAATTGGGCTGTTCTGTAAGCGTAAACTATTATTTTAAAATAATTTTTAATATGGCTCCGCTAACCAAATCAAACGTTTGGGTTTTTCATTAAATGTGACATGTGTAGACAATGTAAAATGTGTAAACAGATGTTTAAAACCGTAGAAATACTACCAATTTAAAAATCATCTCGATGACTTCATCACATAGGCACTTATTCTGAGTTAAGCAAAAATGAAGAAAGTTATTTATACATCAATTCTCGAAATCGTAGATATCTATCTTCTACACAAATAAATAAAATTGTCTGTTTGTGTGCATTGAAGTATCTGACAATTGTTGCAACATCGGTCCCTTCAGAGCGGCCGTTTTCCCCAGCTGGCAATGGGTACATCAACAGATAGCTTTAACTAGATCCAGTGCGGCTGTCAACATCATTATGTTTGAAGAGTTTCAATATTGACAGCTGGAATTTATAATGCAAAACCTGTTTAATACTTTTCAAAAATAATAATTTGGAAACACTCACTGGGTACGGTAATAGGCATTGTTAAAATAAATAATTTTGCATGCATACTGTGCTTTTCTTTATTTTTATAAAATTACGATACGATTTTCCGAGATCGAATAAGATCGATTCAATGTTAAATGATTTGTTATGCAATATGATAAACATTAACCATGATTTCTTATGTTTATTAAAACTATTAAACCAAATTTTTATTTATTTTTAAAAGCACTAATATCATATAATTTCGCTCTAGCATAAAGTCCATTAAGATCCCGTAGTCGCAATAAAGAGCTCAGTAGCACTCTGCAGACTGATATAACGAGGCCTTGTTTACTAGTGATATCTAAACTTTTTATTTTGTTTCCCTTATCTTGATAAGATTTACAAAAATGTCTTATAATATATTTAACTTTTACAATTGAAAAGTGCATTGCGACTAGAAATAAAATAATTCAATTTTTATTCACTAAAATTAAAAATAAATAATAAATTAATAATCTATAAGCCGAGAAGTATTAAATCTTGCTTAGTTGAAATATCTCCGGTGCTTTAAACGCAACATTTTTCATTTAATTTAGAATAAAGGTTATTTAATACAAAATATTTAAAAAGTTATAAATATCAAGTGATCAACAACATTACAGTCCACCTGCTGTTAAGTGGCTACTGCGGACCATGGACACCTGCTGCAGACTGCACACAAAGAAGGCTACAGATGCGTTGTCACCTTTGAGGACTCAGATGGAATGCCTCCCAGTCAGCAAATATACTAGCTTTCCATGCCCTTAAGACAGGAACACAGCAGTGCAAGTACTGCTGTTCTGCAGCGGAAATAGGTAAAAGAGTAGAACTCAGACGCACTCCTACACAGAACAGAAGTCCTACCATCAAGTCAGACAGGAGTCTCAATTTAGTTTGGCTGGTAGTAGGTGCGATAATTCGGTGGATGCAGGTCTCCCTGTACCGTGATTAATAGAATTGTTTTGAGATGCGTATGTCCAGCAGTGGACTTGTGATAGGCTGTGAAGATGATGATATAATCACCATCTAGTCAACAACAATATAAGAATATGTAATGTTCAATGTTGTGCTTTTATTGCATACCTATACTGTAGCAGTCAAAGAGACTAGCCATCTACACAGGGCAAGATTATAATGCACGAGTGTGTGTGCAACACACTCCGACACACTACCGGAGAGGAATCGGGCTCAAGACCAACAGACTTACGTGGTTTTCGAGGCACGAGGTAGAAACACCGGCAAATTCCTTACTATGGTTACTTCTAAGAATTGATTGAAAGACATTGCTATTTACGAAATTCATAATTCGAATTCACCGATCACCTTTAGTTACTGGGATTTGAGTTTTCCTTTGGACCTATATTATGGGTGGTTTATTGAGTCCATGGCCCAAGCAACTGCAAGGAAATGCTTCACGACCGGACAGTGGCTTACACTATATACAGCGCATGTCCGATCATGCATGTGGTATTGCTGCTGGTACTGCAAAATGCCGCCTAGCGGCTTTAAACTCAATGGAAAGGCGTGCTAATTGACTTATTGGAAACACAAAGTCTCAAGCGCATGCGCAAAGCAGAAAGCTTTTTCGTGTTTAACAGGATATATTTCGGAGAGTTACCACAGGATTTTCTTAATTCCTCCATCTCTATTCTATCACCAGACCCCCGGGCACTCCGCTGGTCTCCACCCCCTTTGCTGTCGACACACATTCAAACCAAAAGGTATGCTTCGTCAATCATAATAGGTGCAGCAAAGCCGTGAAATAATTTACCTGCTTTTTTGCCAATCATTTTTGTATCCAATTGTAATGTGGGCAACTTAAGACCAAGATTTAATACGCTTTTTTAAATAAGTCCGTACACTTTACTGTTTTCGGTGTCATCACCGCTTACTATCAGGTGGAATAGTAATACCAACCACTGGGTTACAATAGTAAAAACTACCAATACCTGATTTAGGCCTGAACCGGGGTTCAAACCCAGGTTCAGCAGTTGCGCTTACGTCCAGTAGACCAACGAGGTAGTCAACCTGTAATAGTCGACTGTTGAACATGTGCCTTTTGCTGTTGCAGTAAGGATGTTTTAATTTACTTGGCAGGCGGATCGGCAATCAAGGTACCAGATGTCTAACCGTTGACGTTGCTTCTCGTAGTTGATTCAGCTATTTCACTTGAAATGTCCCAAGATTATATACCTTTCTAATCTTTCCCATAGTAGCCGTTTGAAACGGGACACTGGACTATATTGTGTGATGGACTCCCTTACAGCGGCACCAATTGACTACGTTCTCTTTTAAAATTTGAAAGTTAAAGCAGTGTATGTAAAAACAAATAGAAAAGCAAGAATACATTCTAGTACGAGAAAATTTTCAAGCTAGCTCGTGTCTTTGAATCCTAATACATATTGCATTAACGGCGACTTCGCGCGAATGTGATCCGCGGCACGATATTGTTTTAGCTCGACTTTCCGAAAGATTTCGCCCTTCGGGAGTAAGAGTAAGAATGTGGGATAGTTTCACAATGATGAACGAAACAAGACTTTACGAAATAGCTATTTTTGATATGTTGAAACATTTATAATCAAAATCGATTTGGTTTTTATTCCTGTTAAAATTGATTGATCATAAGCAATATTTACGCGGTAGAGTCACGCTGCAGCTTTAACATGCTTGTAATACGAATGGGTTAGCTTGATCTTGGAAGGACCAGACTGTCACATAATACCAACGAGAAATAGTAGCTTAATTTTGCTGTGTTTCGTATTGTGAGTGCAGAGAATCGGAGATCCTTTTTACTAGAAAAGAGGCATTCCATCTTAGTCCTCAGGACTGACAACGCACCACTCGCGGAAGTAAATGTCGATAAACTTCAAGAACGTCCTTGGAGGAAAACGTGTCCACGCGTGCACGCACAGCTTGTTGTTTTTACGGAAATGGGCTAAAGGTAAATACATGTAAATTTGACCTATTTCAGAGTTTTATGGTAACTTCGTGTATTAGAAATTATTCCGAATTTCTTTTTTATTACTAATTCCAATTTTGTTTCTGTAATAATATATATTCCGAACATATCTAATATTATATTTGTGCTAAAAATGAATCTTAGTATATCACTTTTTTCACTACAGAGTAAGCGCGTACAGAATTCTTGAAACGACTTCCATTCAGTTATTATGTGATTCCTTACGTGTGTTTTATTTTTATTAATCAGATCTAAACTAAAATAATGGGTATATGTATTGTATAATATAGAAGATAATATAAACCAAACAACGACAATAAATGATTTTAAAGTCAATTTCAGATTGTGCAGAAGTTACTTGTTTTACAAAAGCTTTTGTAAAAGTTTGTCTCCTTGCCTTCCTGTTCGTGAAGTTAAAAGTGATTCTAAGTCGCTAGTAGCGTGTCTAGTAGCGTCTAGGTGAATTCATCGCTAAATCGAAGCACTTATAGTTTTGAATTTTGTTAGAAGACTTGGAAGCATACATATTCTAG